CCACACCGAAGATGCATTTTGCTGGATTCAACCTCATTCTATTCTTTCTGAGATTGTTGAATGTCTCCTCGAGGTCAGTTAAATGATCTTCAGCTTTCAAACTTTTCACCACAATATCATGAACATAAATTCCAGATTCCAGCCTATTTGAGCTCGGAATACGATGGTAACCATCTTTTGGTAAATGGCGCCTACATTCTTTAGGCCGAAGGACATCATCACGTAGCAATAGATTTCATCTCCAATATAGAATGAGGTTTTCTCTTCGTCTTCAAGAGCCATGGGGACTTGGTGATAGCTAGAGTATGCATCCAAGAGACTTAATCTCTCGTTTCCAGAAACTGCCTTAACTAGCTTGTCAATGTTTGGCATTGGGTAACAGTCTTTTGGACATGCCTGGTTGAGGTTAGTATAATCGATGCACATTTGCCATTTGCCATTTGCTTTTTTTACCAACATAGGATTGGCGACCCCTTAACAGTAATCGACCCGTCTAACGAAGCCAGCTTGTAAGAGTTTTTCAACTTCTTCTTTGATGACCTTTAACCTTTCCCCCCGAAGAGGCGTCGCTTCTGGGCCACTGGTTTCTTTGAGTGGATTACTGTTGAGTTTGTGTTGAGATACCGAGGTGGGAATTCCCGGCATGTCTACTAAGGTCCATGCAAAAACATTTTTGTTAGCTCAGAGAAAGGTTATCAGCTTTGCTCTCTCCTCAGGATTGAGCCGAGTTCCTATCTGTGTTTTCCTATTCGAATCTCTGTCATCAATCTGTACTTCCTCAACATCTTCACCCAGAGTAGCTCGGGTTTCATCCTCAGGTCGGTTATCAAGGATTTCAACTCCCATCACTTGCCGATTGTCATGGATTTCCTGTGGAGGATTTTCTGCTAGTTGGTCTTTGTCTTTCTATGGCCTCATGATCAAAGTGAGATAACAATGTTTAGTTACTTCCTAATTGCCTCTGAATGTTGCTATACCCATGGGGGTTGGAAATTTCATGCAGAGATGAGATTGAGAGACCACAGCTCAGATTTCTGTTAATGTGGGCCGGCCAATGACAACGTTAAAAGAGGAAGGCATCTTAACCACCAGAAACCGAACTGAAGGAGTCACATAGGTTCGTCCACTTCCAAATGCAACGTTCATGGTTAGGATCCCTTCGATTGGAACTAGTTGATTGTTGAAGCCATATATGGGACCATCGTAACATTGTAGTAGAGCTAGGTCGAGCCCTAGGCTCTCAAAACAGTGGTAGTACATGATGTCAAGTGCACTGCCAGTATCAACAAGTACACGCTGTACTTGACAATTGTTGATCATTACTGAGATGACCAAAGGGTCGTTGTGAGGTGTTACCACCCCTTCAAGATTAGTAGGTGTAAAAGTGATCGGTTGATCTTTCCAGTCAGCATCATCAAGTTTTCTTTTCTGGGCTCGATTCTGATGCTTGACCTCTCTGACATATAACTTTCTTTGTTTGGAGCTCATCCCCCCTGCTTCCAATCCTCCTCTAATCATGTGTATAATTTTGGCTGGTGGTGGAAGTGGAGGTGGGGCTTGTTAATGTCCCATTCCTTGTTTGTTCGGTGGATTACGGGTTCCTTGAGGCTGTGGTCCCTGTTCTCTGACAAATCTTGGCTGTTCAACTCTTTGGATGTATTCATTCAACATTCCTTTCTGAGCTAGACTTTCCAGCTCGGACCTCAGACTGTTGCATTGCTCTATTGTATGACCATGATCTTGATGAAAATCACAATATTTAGTATGATCTCAACTAATAGCAACAGTTCTCATTAGACCCAGATGCCTTAAATCCATCTTGTTCTTAATCTGCATGAAAATCTGTGACCTCGGCAAGTTAAAAAGAGTCAAAGTAACTGGAGGTTTACCTGCAAACTGTTGTGGAGGTGCTGAGTTTGGCCTTCCGAATCTCGGTGTGGAGGTCAACATCGGATCTCAGTTCTGTGCTGTCCTTATCCGTTTCCTGCTCGGATTCTCATCTCTCCAGTCTGGGTTTTGGTTCTTAGAGGGAGTTGGCCTCTGCGACAAGGCATATTCATCAGCAGTTATAAATTTCAGAGACCTATCATTCACCTTGCTAAAGGTGGTGGCAGGATGCTTAAGCAAACTATCTCTGAATCTCTCATGGTTAAGACCTGAGATCACAACTGCAATTCCTACAGCTTGGTCGAAAGAGCTAGTCGAAAGAGCTAACCTCTAGTACGGCATCATTGAATTTGCTCATGTAATTCTTCAAAGACTCTTCGTCCCTCTGTTTAACTCGCATCAGCTCAGAAGTAGTTTTACTGATCAACTTTCTACTGGAAAACTTTGTGGCAAAAGCAAATGCCATTTTTGTATAAGAGCTAATCGACCTCGGAGGTAGACTATAATACCAGGTTTGAGCATTACCTCGAAGAGTAGAGGGAAAGATTTTGCACATCAGCGCGTCAGAGGCGTTCTGAGCTTGCATACAAGAGTAGAAAGCATGTAGGTGATCATCGGGATCCTTCGTCCCATCATAAGTCTCAAGCTGGGGTATTTTGAAGCCAGCAGGGTAGGGTACCAACGTGATGTTGGTGTTTAGAGGGTGTGGTATGGAGTCAGTAGCATGGTGTGGAGGTGGGGCAACTTGCTGTTCAGCTACTAGCTTTTCTAAGTTGTCTAGACGTCGAGTGACATCATTAGGAAGGGGTTGCAGAGATGGTGCTATGTGAGATCGGCCCTGAGATTCACTAAGAGCAAAAGCATGCTGAGCTGGTTTAGGGTTTTGTTGTGGAGCTAGGGGTTGTGGAGCAGGATTAAGTAAATTGATGAGGGGATCACCAGGGTTATTCCGCGCTAAAAGCTAAGCCAATACTAGCTGAAAGACACCAAACTGTTGTTGCATGACTGCAAGCTAAGCTGCAACTACGTCTTGGTTGGCAATAGAAGTTGAGTTGTGAGCTGAATTGTGTGGTTGGTTTTCATCTCCTCCTTTTGCATGATCAACAGGAGGGAACATATTTGGGATCGGAGGTGGGAGATGAGGTGGAAGGTTGCTGGGGACCTGACCTCATCCAAGAGGCTGGGATGAGTTTCCAGCTCGGACTGATCGAGTGTTAACCATGATGAGAGCAACAAGAGAGCTTTCGGTTCGGATTCCCATAGACGGCACCAAATGTAATTGCGTCAAACCAGAAGTCCTTCTTCAGTCCGCGTCTACACTCCAGATGGACCTGCAAAGCCCCAAGGTAGATCCTTAGGGTAGACACTCCGATGCTTAAGTCAGCAATAATCAGGGTTACCTTTAAAGTGGAGATAAAATGAGCTTAGGGTTGGTTTCAATTACCTTTTTGACGTGGCCCCTAAAGGGTATTTATAGGCTTCAGTGAGGAACCCACGTGGCATGCTAAGCAAGATATTCGGAGTCTGACGTGTCTCTCCAGACTGTTATTTCAGGAACGAAAATTTGAGAGATATTCAGACGTAAAGATGTCTATCATAATTGTTGTGCAGCTTATCATAAGGAATCAAGTGCGGGCATGCTTATTGTCACTGTCATGTAGCTATTTGAGCAGGAAGTTTTGGATTTATCCTTCACTTCGGTTATACAAGAATTACTGTCATATGTTTGAGGTTGAGCACCTCGGACCTATCCTTACAGGTGCCTACCAGGTTCCTAGCGCCATCAATCTGGCGAGCATCGGATGATGAATACAGATCATAGTGTGGTCATGATGAAGAAAAGTGGAGAGGTGGGGGAAATGTCTATTGACGAGTTTGAACAGTTGGACTAATTCATGAGCCACCGACCCTTTTGAGTGCATTAGGTTTAGTTGGTTTTTTCTTTTTCTTTTTTTGGTGGGCTTTTGGAACTTCGGCTGTTGGGTAATAGGGATGTGGCAGTTTTTATTGTCTTAGACAATTAAAGTTCTGTCTAATAAGGTTGTAATTTTGAGTTTTCAACTTATATTTTTTGCATATTTAGTATTTATTATTATATTAAAATTAAATTTAATTAGATTTCTTTACTAAAGAAGAGCCTGAACTGTTAATCTCGCGATGTTTTTGTAAGGCAATGAGCCGCTGTGATCAACACAACACAACCAACCATAGTGATTACCAAAGCATTAATTGACTTTCCTATGGCATTTTGTCTTTGCAACTGTCTCGCCATTGGGCATAGATATGGGGAACAAAGGCAAAAGTGGTAAGAGTGGAGTCATAAGACTTCAAATTCGGTGAAAGGTAACCCTCATATTTCAAATCTTCAAAAATGAAATGGTAGTCATTGAGTGCTTTGACAATCTTTGATTGTATAGAGAACGCGACAAGGATTAGAACCGAGAATTACAATCGCAAAAGGTGTAAATTCTCCATTAAAACTATTATGTTGAAATAAATTGTCATACAAAAAAAATGTTGACATAATTTATCATTTCAAATTTTTATTTTTAAAAAATTAGTTAGAATTTAACAGTTACTATTAACTTTTTATTAGATTTTAAATGCAATAGTTTAACCAAATTACTTAAAATGATTTCTTGAAAATGGAAATTTAGGGTGATGAGGCCTACACTATGCTAGTTATTTTTTTAAAAATAAAAATTATAGATTTTATTGATAATAAAGAAAGTACATCAATTTCATCTATGAAAGTGCCTTATAAGTTAGGAAACAACTACCTATAACACTAGCATTCAAAGATATACCATATTCAAATGAGTCAATCATTAATTGAAAAGCCTATATACTAGTCAATGTTATTGTAGACATGCCAAAATAGATGGAGTCGCTCTCTTTCAAAATGAGGTGAAATAGATCACCAAAATTTGCATAAAAATTGACTAGAATGAAAGAGTTAATTAAGCATGGGAAAGGTATTAAATGCCCCACAGCTTCTATATAAATATATTATTATATACTTTAATTTTGGAGTATTTTCAATTTTGTAATAAAATGATAAAAACAGATTCAATTAACTTAAACAATAGGGAAAAAAATCTAACTAACAAAAGAATAAATACATGATTTCTTTAAACTCTTACTATGTCAATTTAAACCAACAATTCAATGATTTCCCAAAATAAAAACACAGAAATTAAATCAAGAATTTTACAAAAGATGCATACCTATAAGAAAGTAGAAAATTTAAACTTTATTTTCTTGAAGTTCCAAATACTAGATTCTAAATTTTTCCTTTCCCTCTATCTACGACTACCCGCTTTTCTCTCAATTTTCTTCTCAGTTTTCTGAATTTTTTTCTCTGCCCTTTCTCAAGCAATCAAGCCCCCTACTTATACAGATGGAGATAGAATCCCCAACCCTTTCAAGCTCCTAAATCCTAATCTAAATTTTAAATAATAAGCCAATCCTATTTAGAATGTGAAAGCTTAAAATTGACTTAGTTTTTCACACACCTTCCCTCTTTCAAGACTAAATTCATACCTTTTAAAGATTAGGACTCCCCAATTTGAATCAATTCCAAACTCCTTGTGTCTCGCAAACCTTGATTACTTGGCTGATTGACTTCAAACTCTGAAAATCTCCTCTTGATGCTGGACCTTATCCAACCTTAAAGTAGATTTAGAGATATAGCACAAGAATTTGAAGATTCTTAGAAGATATGGGAGAAACATCAACTAATGAGCAAAAAGGATCATGAGCAACAAAACTAAAGAATTGTGAATAGCTAGGGTTCAACTAAGCCTTAACTTTTAATTTAGCCCACAAACAAAATGACATCATTTTGCCAATTCAATCTCTCAACCCTTCTAGTTTCATGCTTTTTGCAAAAATGGTCCATTGGCTTCCAATTTTATTACTCAACCTCTAGTTAAAATTGAATTATGATAGTCGTAAGATGTTGATAGGCAAAAGAAAAAGTTACCCTACATAAGCTCCATAAGCTCTAAATAATTGTACATGTAACACTAAAAGCTAAGGTAGAGCAAAAAAAAAAAAAAAAAAAAAAAGGAAAACCACAAGTGACTATCTCCATCCACCACTTATCGTACAAAGGTCTTCATTCAAGAGCCCTTCAATTCACTATAGCACCCTAACCACTTCTAACAAATAAGTAGAAGAGCCACTACTAGCAACACCCATCCATAATCAAGAAAACCAAATTCCAATGATCTCACAATCTTCACAAAAATAATCCAAGAATTGATCCCCTTTTAGAGAACCAAAACATTTGGCCCACCTACTCTAAGCTATGCACATGAAAATTCAAACCTATCCAAGCAAACCCCATGATTTAAAGTTCCTCATAATCCAAACAACTTGTACCACACATCCAAACAAAGAGTAAAGCCTAGTTGAAAATCACCGAAAAGTCAAAAACCACCAGCAACCTAAAAGCTAAACCTAACTTGCAACTAAATTCATTAAAAAATCAATGACCACCACCACCCACCAGCCCTCAATCCACAAGCCACCCCAATTCCCAAATCATGCTTAATAGCCAAATTAAAGGACACCACCACCAACCTAAAAGCCAAAACCGTTCTCAAATGCTATGAAAAGTCTTGGTGTATTTGTTGTGCCAAATCCAATCGACAAGAAACTCTAATCGTAAGCCCAAAATCCATAGCACTAGCCACCAACCCACGAATTTTTTACTTTCTTTTGTTTTCATTTTTTTTATTGACTGATATAATTGGTAAAGGAATAAGAGAGACAGGGAATCAGAAAAGAAGAAGAAGCAAATATGCCAAAGGGAGAAGGACAAGCTGAAGCAGGAAGCTCACATTATGGGAGGAAAGTAGCTATAGTCAAGAAGGAGAAGGGAACTTGCTTTGCTTCTAGTTTTTTTCCTACTATAGTGTATTTTTTACTTTTTAAAGAAATTAGTTATTAATGTTGAATAGTTGTTTTATAGTGGGGATTGTAAAATAAAAATCTTTAAATGAGAGCACTACTACTAAAACTCTAATTTTCAACAACATGGTAGCACGTCGGTGAAAGTACTCCCCATGTTGCTGAAAGTACTTCGGCAACAAGAACCATCTCGCTAATGTCTTTGTTGGAGAAGCTTTGGTTGGTAATACATTATCGACAAGCTTCACATTGCTGATTTGCTAATTCATAGCACCCTTTTCGGCAACATACCCCTCATTGTTGAAAGTATGGTTTCATCGACGCGGCTGATGCTACTAAAAAAGTCATTAAAGCTGGCTAGCAGAATTTTGCACCTTTTCAGCAAAATACCACTTGTTGTTGAAAGTCGAGCTTCACTGACGTGACTCGTGTTGCTAAAAATAGTCACCGAAATTTTGGTACGCATTTCAACAACAAGTCCTTGTTGATAACTTATGAAACCTACCCCATTTTTAGCAACATATCTCTTGTTGCTAAATATTACGTGAATAGTAGAGCATCCCACTTTTAGCAACAAAGTCGTTTGTTGCTAATACTCTCATGAATAGTAAGGCCACCCCATTTTCAACAACATATCTCTTGTTGCATGTTGCTAAATATTACGTGAATAGTAAATCATCCTACTTTCAGCAACAAGTCCTTTGTTGCTAATACTTTCTTGAATAGTAAGGCCACCCCATTTTCAAAAACATATCTCTTATTGTTGATTATTACGTGAATAGTAAAGCATCCTACTTTCAACGACAAGTCCCTTGTTGTTGATTATCCTGTCAATAGTACAAGCATGCACGCCCCCTACCAATTAGCTAGATGTTTCGTATCAATGATGCTCAAAAATGCCTTTTTCGAATTGTTTTATCGACAAGTGGCATGTTGCTATACTTGTCACGCCCCATAACCCAAATCCAAGGACGTGGCAAACGCCGTGCACTCATGAGAGGGTCCCACAAATGCACAAGGCTCGGAACTCATCATACCACAATCTGATACCACCAAAATCTGAAGATAAAATTTTCTCTGATATCATAAAATCTCCAAATACAGTCTAGCTTACAAGATCATGGTTTATTTCTAAAATCTATATCAATCTTGAAATGGCTAGCCTTCTAACTCGTCACTTCCTGTGGTTTCCCCGTCCTCGGTTTCACTTCCTGAAATGGTGGACAAGAAAAAACTATGAGATAACTCAGTAAGTAAATATGGATAGCCCTTAATTAAACTTATAGCATGCCAACAAGTGTAATCACGAAAAATGGATACAGTACGGGAGCAAAATAGACGTCTCCTTTATAGATCACGGCCAGTGTTATAAACCTCCCACTGGCAGGCACATTATTTGTTGGTGTATAACCCCCACTAGCAGGGTTAAACAAACCGATTCTATCAATAACATGTCGACATGTGCTAGCATTTATAAACCTCCCACTAGCAGGCACACTAATAACATGACCACATCGGAGACAAAACAGGCAGAAGTTAAAAGAAAAACCATAATTCACAAATCACTTTCAGATCATCGGGACAATCAATTAAATTTCAAGTAGGCATGCTCAATTTAATGAAAAGCATAAAAATTTCACTTCAAATCAGTCATGCTTGTGTAAAACGGGTTTAGTCCCACCACCATTTCAAAAACAAGTCAAAACATGCTTTTAAAATCGAAGGGCATTACCATAATTTACTTATGTCACTCGCATAAAATCGAATACTCGATCTCAGTGCTAAACTGACAGAACGATCAAGAACCTAATCAAAATATCCAAGAATTAATACCGCACTCCCACAAATTCAAACTGAAATCACCATGACTACCCCCTAATCACGATGTTATTCCTATCAACCTCCACATGACAAAACATCTCCAAATTTGTTCTTATATCACAAACTAATCATTTAAATCCCCGTTAATTGTTGGCCATTAGTGTGTGAACAGTATCCGTAAACAGTAACTGCACTTCCAAAAATTGGCCAAAACACTAGCTAATTTCACGGGATTGTTCTCCAAAATGTCACAGCAGTCAATTAACACTCAATCACATAAATTCCACTTGAATTAAGCAACAAAACACACTTAAAATGCTCTAATTGCTACCGGAATTATCCCCTAATTACTGCAGATTTTCAGACATCACAAGGTAGCAAACTAATTGGATAATTTTAGGCTTAAAGGGCTGCTACATACCAGAATCCAGCAAACAAGACCGGAGCTGCAATTTGGGGAAGTTGCCGACAGGAATTCACGCAATCAGAAACTGGAGCAAATCAGACCCATAAAGCAAGAGCAGCCGACGGTGAGGAGCAGAGCAAGGCAGATCCAAAATTTTCTCTGCGGGGGGGGAGGTTTCTAAGCTCCTAAATCTTGTTCTTGGACAAGAAAGAAGGAGGAATTTAAGGCTTCCTATCGGTTTTTCTTCATGGGAGGCTGTCGGCTTGGTTGGGGGCCTTCGGGAGCTGCAAGGGACGGAAAGAAGAAGAAAAAGAACAGAATCGGGTGGCTGAAGAAAGAAAGGAAGAAAGAAAAAAAATAAGCCATCCTTATCCAAAATCTTCCCTCTTTAAGTCCCTCAAGTTGGACATTTTGGCTATTAAGCCCAAAACAATATTTTTGCACAATTTAGTCCTTAACTTAATGCTAAGATATCACGAAATTTTGGGGTATTACAATACTATTTTACTTTGAAAAAATATATAAATTCATAAATTTTCTTTACCAATATTATGAATACATATTTCTCAGTTACATTAACATTTAAAAAAAATTAAATTAAATTAATTTCATGCTATAATTATAAAATTTAACAATAATGTATTATTTAATTATAAAATTTACTTTTTGTAATTGTAATCACTAATTAATAAATTTCATGATATCTCACTCATAATATAATAAATTATACCAAAAAATTACAAATGTATAATTAGTATTTATTTTAACCATCTATATCTAAATTTTAGCTAAATACATTTAAAATAACATCTCAAGGCAATTAATGTCAGTGTAAGGAGCTTACCAAACTTGAATTTTTTTTACTTTAATGAAATTTACCTACAAAGCAACAAAATATCAAAATTAATAATTATTATATATATAGTTATTTATAGTTTTATTAACTTTCAAATAAAATGGAACATGCTTAATCACTTAATGTTTATAAAAATATTAAATACAATAAAATCACAATATATGACTCAAAAGAATGAAGAAGTGATGAAAATTAATTTGATTACTGATATATGTTTGAGAATTTTATGATAATTAAAAGATAATAAATAAATGATACTTGATAGATAATTAATAGATAAAAAATGAGTGAGATATGGAGGATTTGTGCAAAAAAAAAAGAAAAAAGAAAAAGAAAAAGAGGCTGAAAAATGGAGGAGGTAGAAAGCATATCATACAAGAGAGCATGAGAGGATAAATGAAAGTATTGCTTAGCTCAGTTGGGGTGCGAGTAATTATAAAGCCTTTAGCATCATATATCATGTTTCTAAAAGGTCCCCCCCCCCCCAATCAACGACATATTCCATGTTTCCTAAACTTGGTTGAATTTCAAATGACTTAACTCATCATCGACATATATCATATTGCTAATTATTCAACTTACCATTCCCACCATTCCCACCCATTGTTTGATTCATATGCTTAAAAGAAATTTATTTTTATCTATAAAATTTAATTTCTTAGTTGATTTTTGTTACTTTATTCAATGTTACTTAACACTTAACATACTAATTAATATAATTACGTTATTTACTCTTTATTTAAATGATTCAAATCTCTAATTTGTCTAAAAAAATAGTGTGGACATACTTTTGAGTTTATAGAAATATTTTATAGAAAAAAAATATATATTTTTTGCTTAAGAGTCAACTATTGAAAATGAGAGTTGAATCTTTCTCAATAAAAGTTATTTCTTTACATGGAAATGTGTATATATAATGGCTTTGGGCAATTCTCAATCACAGTAGTAATATTAGCAACATATTTCTTATTGTTAATTTTTGGTTGCTAAAAATATAATAATAATAGCAACACAAATTTTGTTGGTAATGTATAACATCAACAACATGGTATATGTTGCTAATACTTCAAGTGACTTCAAAATTGCAACATGTCCCTTGTTGGTGAAATTCACTTTCAGCAGCAACAAGGGGTATGTTGTCGAAAGTAGAGCTCATTTTTAGGTGGGAATACGCATTGTATAGTGACCAGAAAACTATAGCAACATATCCCTTAGTGCTGAAATTCACTTTCAATAGCATACCCCTTGTTATTGAAAGTGGAGCTCACTTTTAGGTGAGAATATGCATTGTATAGTGACCAGAAAACTATAGCAACATATCCCTTATTGCTGAAATTCACTTTCAGTAGCATACCCCTTGTTATTGAAAGTGGAGCTCACTTTTAGGTGGGAATAGCTTTTAGTAACATAGTCCTTGTTGGTGAAAATCTGTATCACCAAAAGACACTCATGTTGCTGATAAGTAGTTGCTGAAAGTGAGAATTTTAGTAGTGCACTCCTTAAAGTTGAGGCTATTGTTTTACAATAAATTATTGTAAACGATAAAACAAGAACCTTTAAATGAGGGAGGGCATTTAATATTAGGAGAGCCTTTTTATTTAAGGATAAGTATTTTACAATACGATATCGATTATAAAACACTTTCAATTGAAGTTTGATTTTTTTTTTTTTTGGTGTAAGAAGTTTGAGGGTTACCAACAATTGAAGGATAACATTGTCAATTGAAGAATGGTAATGAACAAAAACTCTAAAGTAGATGGATGATAATGAATAGGTCAAATTTTATTTGCATTTTATACATTTTTTCTGTAGTTAATACCTTTAAAAGGTTTTAGTTTTGGTAACACTCATCATTATTTAAAACTTATAAAAAACTTAAAAACTAACAGTTAAGCTTCTTACTTACACCTTTATTTTGTTGGTAATGAATAACGAGTTTGGCTTAAGGAATATGGTTTAAAAACAATTACAAACAAAATGGTAATACAAGAACGATTATGAACAACTTTCTAATTGCTAGGACATTATGCATTTAGAAACGAAAAGAAAATGGAGATTATGAATATCATATTATATTTTGTAAATTTTTAATAAATTTCCTTAAAATACCTTTAAAATCTCAAATAAATATCCAATAAACTTTTTAATAAAAAGCACATTGTGGAGAAGTTCAATTATATTTGACTCACTAAATTTTGTTAGGGGTGTATTGGTGATGTAGGTTGATGAGTCAGCAATGATGATAATGTGGAGGCTGACTAAGATGCGACCCACGAATGATGATGAGGGTCCTTTTGGCGACATCCGTTTCACGTGCAAAAGGCTACATGCCACGAGTTGTCTCGTTCTGCCCAATGATATTGATCAATAGTAAATTCCCCAACAAAGTCTAAAGGTGTAAGTTTTCTAGCCACGCTGAGAGGGAAAGCTGGTAGCGACAATAGAGTTCCAATATGTGTAGCGATGTTGGTCGGCAGCAAATTCTCCAACGAAGCTTGAAGGTGCAAGTTTCCCCAGCGAAGTCCGAAAATAGAGCTTCTCCAGCAAAGACTGGAAATAGAGTTTCTCTAGTGAAGTTCTGAAGTAGAGTCTCTCTGGCGAAGTTTGGGAACAAAGTGCTTCTCTAGCAAAGTTCGCAAATAGAGCTTCTTTGGCGAAGTTCAAAAGTAGAGTTCACAAAGACCGAAAATAGAATGTCCCTAGCCAAGCCAAAAAGAGTGGAGTGATGATGGTGCTCCCAAGATAACAAGAATGATTTCACAACTATTAAAAATAATGAAAATGAAATGTACATTGCTGTAGGAGCAGCAAGGATAGAAAATATGTAAGGGTTAAAAATTACAACTTGAGAAGCACATTTTTAGATAGTATCTTGTAGCACAATAGCAAAGATAATGAATGTGCCTTCTATTATCCTTGACAAATACTTCTATTTTATAATAAGCAACCCTCACGTTGTAGATAAAAGGCACAATGGTCTCCTTTAAGCTTCAACAAGAAAAAAAGGAATAAACTTGAAAGTAATAATGGGAGAAGGAAGGATGACCATTATGGGGGCTTATGAATGGAGGGCTTATGAATGGAGCGCTTGTGAATGGAAGGCTTGATCCCGTTTGTGATGTTAACTCTTCAGCTTGATCCTCTGATACTCAAGAAAACAACCCAGAAATTGAAGCTGCAACATCTTGTCTCCTAGCCATGATGTTCTGTCTCTTAGCCATGATGTTTTGCAAGTTTGGAAAATATTCTATAGTGCTGGAAGCGCAAAAAATGTAGTAAAAATGGTGATTTCTGGGTATTTTGGTGTATACAGTGAAAGGTTGAAAATGAAGAAGTTTTCAGAGGAAAAATAGAAGTTTGGTTCGTGAGGAAGAAAGTGGAAGTGGAAAATCTGGTCTGTTCTGTACGTCTCTCTCTTGTTGAAAAATGAAGGAAAGATATTATATATGGCTAGTGGCATTTTTGTAATTTTTGGTTGAAGGGTCAGAGGTGTCCAAGTGGGCTTGGGTGAGCTGTCACGTTTTGGGTGGTTTGGGACATGGCCGACAGCTCTTTGGCGGTGGCATCATGAATTGCCTAGTGGTTTTGGTGAAGCTCCGTTGGTTCTGGTGATGGACTGGAAATTGAATATTTCTGGTAACGCCTCTAGCCACACGAAATTCCATTTTTGGGGGGATAATTGAGTGCAGTCGGCAAAATCAGGTTTGGCCAAGTTTTTGGTAAATTTCCAAGGGCTGGCCGAGATAGTAGAAGATTCCCAACATTTGTCCAAGATTTTGGTAGATTTTCCCAACAAAGTCAAACCTTTTTCAATAGTTGCCAACTTGTGCAGCCACCTTTTTCAGCAATTTTCAGCACCGTGCAGCCACCTTTATATTAAATATGGCTGCAAATTGTTGGTGGTGACCAAAATAGTCTCTTTAGTTGGTTTTGAATGGGATTCCAAGCTTCTAGTTACCATCAAACAGTACGGTTTTGTGACCAAGCTTAGCATCCACATCTTCGCCACCCAGCCCTTTCTAGCGAAGTTGGGCAACATCGCCAGATAGGCAACGTTCACCCATCCATGCCTGCCAAGCCACTACTCCCATAATTTATTCCCAATATTCCCATGAGATTAGATTCATGGGTTTATTGATGACCTACATAGATTAGTTGATGAAAATGATAAAATTTAATAAAAAAGGAAATAATAAAGGAAAGAGACTTCCTTATATATTTCTGGTGATTCAGCCATGTACTACATCATTAGATGCCGCGTTGGGTTTAGCCATATATTATAGCATCAGATACTGCTAAGCTTAGCCATGTATTATAGCATCAGATATTGTTGGGCCTGAGTCTAAGTTTGACCTTTTAAAAAAAATCATCCAACAACATTAGCCCACCAAGCGGGGAGAGTTGTGACAACAAGTCTTTGCGCTTGTAGTTGATGGAGTTGAATACGCTCAAACTTTGCCAAATATTGGATGAGTTCGATGCTTTCCAGCAATATTTTTATCATGTAACAAGTTGAAGAAATGTGGCAAAGTTGTGCCAAACTTGGAAGGTTGACTTCGCTAGAGAATAGGCCCATCCTTATGTTGCAAGAATGATGATGATAATAATAGTAAAAGTGATTGTTGTAATGCTCTCCCTTAGCAACTTAGTTGAGCTTGTAAAGAATTTTCCTCTGCTGGGGAATGAAAGCATTAAACACTGTTCATAGCCATGTTGCTGTAGATAAGATGCATGTTTTGTGTCTTCATGGTTGGAAAATATTGTCGAGCTAATTTTGGGGAAGATAGCAATCTGATGAAAATTAAGCAAATGGTTGAAGTTGCAGTGTTGGAGATGAACATTTATTAGCTTCGCTAGAAAGTAATATTGGCAATATAATCCTTTAGCCATGCAAAATTTTTTTTAACCTCCCATGTCCATGCTCATCAAGGAAGTATTTGTAATTTTTCATCTTTTCTTGTGACTTGACATTAAGAAGTTGTCTGGCGAAGATAAATGACTTAAACAATGATGGAGGCACAACAATAAGTTGCAAGCTGTTGAATTTGTAGCAGATTGCTCCATCCAAGCAAAATATGATGATCTGAAGTAAAGAAATAACTTTCCATCCAAGGAATGTGGGAACCAACAATGATGGATAACTTGTTTAAAAGATAAAGTAAAGATGAAGACTCTCCATAGCCTTGTTATAATTGTATGTCAGGGCCAACAAGAGCCCTCATTTTGCTAGAGATGATAGAAAGATGATAAAGATGAAATGAGCATACATATGTTGACGTACTCATAATGGACCCAATTGTTAAAGAAGACTCTCTGTCCAAGATAAAGTGTTCCAGCAAAGATGGATCTTCTAACCAAGATAAAGTGTTCCAACAAAGATGGACCTTCACGTTGAATATTGCTGAGTTGGCCAGACAGCTTTGCTGACCTCCTTCATGCATCAAGGGAGAAGATGTAAGTATACATGTCGTGCCTCTTTGTCCATTTGTCATGGGAAGCACTTGCATAGCATTGTTGTCTATGTTTGGCATTGCACCAAAATGAAGAATGAGTAATATGGATGTATGTTGCAATATCGTTGTCCTGAGCCAAAGATTGCTGGTCGAAGATACCTACTAACACATAAAATGTAGAAAAGATATGTTATGAATCGGGATTACCGACGATCGGTAATTTTGTCCTTTTGTATAGAAGAATGATAATGTGTATGACCATTGGCCATGTTGTATAATGTTGTATAAGTATTGTAGGGTCAGCCATGAATAGCCTTTCCATAGCCAAAGGGACAACAGTGGTTAGCTTTGTCCATGGTTGGAGCGTGAACTATGTGG